AATGGCGCACCGACATGGCAGAGTCATGCTTTCCCTGACTGTATCGCTAACTATGGCAACACACATACAGTCATACAGATGTTCCCCCACAGATGTGTTGGTGAAAGCCCGACAAAACTGTCTGACGCAGTCCTACTTTTCTGTTCACACCGCCCGTCGCTTCTATCGATCGAATGGTCTGGTGAGGTGTCTGGATCTCGGCGGTCTGTCGTTGTCTATCTGTCTGATGGTCTGTCTCTTCTCTCTTTTCTCTTCTCTCATTCTCCCCCTCGCTCTCTCTCTCTCTTTACAGCAAAGAAAAATGAGCAATAGCGGGATGATAATATTCAGACTACATGTTCACATTGAAAGCCAGATCGTACCACAGTGTCCAGAAGGCAGCAATGCACCAATATAACATCAATAGAGAATCGTAACACTGAAAACTCAAGGTTAATGAGAGTTCTGCTCTCGCCGCTACCATCACATGTATTCTAGGCTCTTCTCCGTACTTGGCACTCGGTGCCCAACCTACTCCCTACACAACTAACATTTGCCTTCTGATTGACAATGCAACTGTCGACGTCAGCAGCCGATGAAGTACTTGAAGACGTCGATCAATGCAGGCCATCGCCGATACCAGGTATGTGCCCTCACATCATCATCATCATCATCCTTCTCTCTCTCTCTCTTTTTGTTGGGCGTGTCTACTTGTCTGTTTCGTTTGCCGGAGTGTCTGACTGTGTTTCTGTCTGTGTATCTGATTGTGTCAGACCGTGTATCCGTCAGTTCTTTTCATTTTTGCTTGTCTGTCTGATCTATTTTTGTCTGTATCTCTCTGTATCTGTCCATTTGTTTCCGCTTATCCGCGTTTGGCGGCCTTTCTGTCTAGCTCTCCAGTGCCCAGCCTACTCTACTCATCCTACCTATCCCGCCTCCATTCTTGCAACCGGAACACTCTGAAGTCGGGGACCAATCCATGCGATGTCATCACCAAAGCTGACCACCAGCTCACACCAGGTACGTTATTCCCCCCCCTTTCTGTGTCTGCTTATCCGCTTGTCTCTCTGTTCCTGTTTGTCAGTCTGTGCGTGTCATGTATGCCTGTCTTCTCCCTTTTTCCTCTACTGTCTTTCTCCTTCTCTCTCTCTCTCTCTCTCTCTCTCTCTCTCTCTCTCTCTCTCTCTCTCTCTCT